AGGTTGCTGTGAGATAGGTTGACGCCATGGCACTCTAGCCAAGGCAAGAGAGCCAGACTCTGTCTCAAAAAAAAAAAAAAAAAAAGAAATGTATGTGCTTCCCAATTGTGATTTTGGATGGCAATTCTTCAGTTCCTTGACAAGCAAAATAAAATGGTGACGGTGGCAGGGAGTAATGTATTTTGACAATGTATTAATGATAGTGCTTTTAGCAAAAAAATGTGAAAATTATGCTTTTATTACTCACTTTATTTATTATTTACCATTGAGTGAATCATTTATTGTTTAATTTACTTCTTTAAAAAAATAGACCTCATGAAGTTACAAGGCAATTAGTTTATAAGTTACAATTCAATTTCATTTGAGAAAAAACCAAGAATATTGCATTATTGAAATCTGTAAATGCAATTTGGGCTATTTAAATGGAAACGAAAGTTTGAAATTGATTTTAAAGAAGAGCATTCCCCTCCCTTCTCACTTTTCACATTTTCTCAATATGTAGTAGCTCAAAGAGGCTTTCTATATTGGAAAAATCAATGTGTGTGTGTGTGTGTGTGTGTGTGTGTGTGTGTGTGTGTGTGTATGTGTGTGAGAGAGAGACAGAGAGAGAGACAGAGAGACAGAGAGAGATTGGTGGGTAAAGTGGAGGGGTAGAGTTAGGGGGAGATGAGACCACCAAAAGAATAACAAAAAGATGTAGGATTATTTTGCAGCAGTTTTTTTCTTTCCTGATGTTATACACCTGAGCTTGCACTCCTTTAGAAAAAGTCGTTTCCTGGATATTGTCACCCTTCAAGAGTGATTAGAATGACAGTAATGGTGACCTCATAGTCTACAGAGTATGAAAGGGCTACTTGTTTTTATTGGAACAAATGTGTCTTTTTTTTATCCATCATTTTAAAATTGGATCAATGTCAAATGTAATCTACTAGAAAATAAGAATCTGTAGAGCTTGTCTTTAATCTATTATATAACATGTCAAATATCAAATATCATGTCCATGTGTGTAGAACCTACAATGATGTGTAGTACAAAAATGGTATGACACAGATGTTTGCTGATCAACTTACTTTTGATGACTTTGACGTGCCGATTCTCCCCTGGAAGACTGCAGAGCCTCTGTGTGTGGCAGGTTGGCCCCCATCAAGCACTGGAGCTGGCAGAGGACACCGCGTTGTTACCGGCTCTGCTCCTTGCCAGTGCCTGGTGCCAAAACCACGTGACTGAATTTGTGCTTATGCAGTGATAGGAAACCTTGCCGTCTCTCTTACGCAGATCTGGGACAAGGGAGAATTAGCTCGTTGCCCTTTGCTAATTAAACATGCGTTCTTTAACTGTTCAGAATTTTATACAATAAAAAATGAACACACTGAATTTATTTCTTTTGACTCATATTCACTTTTAGGTCTTGGTGCCCAGACCGCACTGTTTTTCAAGCAAGAAAGTATATTGCAGATTCTTTGGAGGAGAAGTACACAGAACCGGTTATCTTAAATCTGGAGAAAACTTGGGAAGAAAGTGATACCCGAACACCTCTGATATGTTTCCTGTCCATGGGATCTGATCCCACCATCCAAATTGATGCATTGGCCAAGAAACTGAAACTGGGTATGATTAGCAGTCTATGGAATTTAGCAACACTTCCACATTTTTGCTTCAAATTTTGCCTTTCATAATTTCATAACTGGTTCTTAGAAACATATCTGTAAAACTGAGTTAGAAAAAAATATTAAGCTTATTCTTCCTTTATCCTTCTATTATACCTCCCAGATTGAGGGTGTAATATAGGTATCTTTGTGTAGAGAAGAACACACTCAGCTGCCACATACTGATTTTTTGGTTTTTTTTTTTTTTTTTTTTAATTGTAAGCAGAGGGCTGTATTGTATGGATAGCAGACTAGCAAGAATGAACACCCAGGAGCAAAAGTCTATGTTATTGCCATGCCTGTATAAGATAAGAGCAAAGTTTGTTTTGTCACAAATTGAAGAACTATAACCATTATTGTAATGCATAGTAATTAGGGACTCATTCATTAGGGGTTGTTGCTTTCATTCAATAACCATTCAGTACAGGCAGTGTGCTAGATGTGGGGAGTACACAGGTGAGTACAACACAGCTGGGGAAGGCAAACATGTAAGCACATAACTGAAGACAGTGTGACAACTGGAGTAACAGAGTTTCATAGAAGTGGCTGATCACAGGATTCAGAGCTACTCAGACTGCCTAGGGTATAGGTGAAAGCATCACATGGATGGTATTTTCAGAAGGATCTTAAAAAAATAGATAAAACTTTACCAGGTGGGATGGTGGGAGAGAGAAAGAAAGTTATTCCAGGGGGAGGAGGCAGGGCAAGGAGTTATAAACGCGTGAGAGTGGCAGCAGTGACTGCGTTGGTGGAACTAAAGGATAGGAACGCAGAGCACGTCCTAACAGAATTGAGCCATTCTATTAAGATGCAAGGAGGACTGCTTATCCCCCTTCCTACTCTGAAAATCTGGATGTTGTTGGCATTGCCATTTGAAGTCTTCCAAGTTCAGGTCTCTATAACTTTACCTTGTAGAGTTAATTCGTTCAGGTCTTTATAAAGATTATAAAAGTGATTGATTATATGTCACTAAACCAATAATAAAATTACATCAAATTTATCATATAGTTAACATAAACACGATATAATAAAATTGATTCAGTCATGTCCATGAGTTACTAGCCACAAGTGCTCCGCACAAAACCCTAAGCTTGGGGTAGCGTGGTCTATGGTTGTTCCCTCTTTTCTCATCTTGACTTTGCCCTGTTCATTGTCACCACACTGTTCTGTGTTCTCAGTGGATCTGTGTTGAAATGGTCATTTTCTTCTATCTGAACACTCATACCCAATACAGGGGATGCCTGGTTCTTTTGGCAGTTACTCATGGTTAAGTCTCATTAGCCATCTTTAAAGTAGACTGCTTTGCTCTGGTAATTACTGTTGCACACCAGCGATCTGAGTTGATCTAAGAGTGGTGCCTCTCTAGTAGCCTTAGAGTTTGCAAATCTCTCTCGGATCTATTGCTTTGTGGGTCTTTACCCGGCTGTCTCTATGCCCCAATTCTCTCTGCACATAGGTGTCTTTTTTCTCTCTGGCCACAAACCATTCTTCTCCACATGGCAGAATTCCTGGCTTCTGGTGGCTAATGGGTGTCTCTGCTTACATGCTCAGCATGTTCAGTGCTCTCAGGGAAACTCCCCTTCCTTTCTTGGTCCCAAGTTCAAATATCCAGGGAAGAAACTCATTGGCTTAGCTTTGATCACATGTTCCTTTCTGGGCCAATCAGTGAATTGTTGCCATGAAGATAGGTTCATAGCAGGAATCGTATATATGGAGCTGGGGTTGGGGACATTTCCTAGAAAGGAATACAGTTCCTAGAAGAAAGAATATTCCACTAGAGTGACCACTTCAAATATTACCTGAAAGTAATGCTGCTGTTTAAGAACAGAATTAAGAAATTTCAGGTCTCCTTTGGGAGAAATTATAACTATGACATTATATAAATACAGAGGCCAGACTTGTGCTACCACCATTAGTGTTATCATACTGCTTTGCTTGGCAATTTGGTGATTTCCATTTCTTGCTACTACTTATTTCAACAACAGTCCAAGCTTCTATCGGTTACTTTATTAGAATACTTAAACACAGTAGATCTGATTTTGACACTGAAGGACCAAATGAATTTTGTAAAGAATTCTACTGCCAAATTATTTTCAGCTATGCTAGGAAGTCTCATGCTGCTTGCCCCTTTGGGCTAACAGTCCCAAAGATAGCTGTTAAAATGAAACTGTTATGTAGACAGACTAACATATTAATCTAGTCTCAACTATTAATATTTTATTTAGAAAACTAGATAATAGATAATCATAGAATGCGCAAGGTGAATGAGACTCTAGAAATCTTGGAATCTAACTACGATTTGGAAATAAAGCTCCAGAGCTAGTAAGTGAGAGATCTGATTCAGGAACACCATTGCAGCAATCTCAGTGGTCTTTCTTTCTCATCCCCTCTCACTGCTTTTATTAGATGAGTTAAACAGTTACCTGACAGTAACATGAAGATGCAACAGAATCCAGTAAGGTTTTGTAGGGAAAGAGGAGAAGGAAAACTTCTGATTATAATTGTTATCAGGTAGTGGTCAGGATCTGCAGGTGACAGCCTTGGAGCAGGTACATTCTGCACAAAAGTCCTGGGTTCCTGGGCAAGGGAAAGAAAGCAGATTGACTTTAGCTTGAAAACCCTACTAGGAGCCTGAGGAGAGGGCAGTCCCAGAGGAAGAAGGATGGGTTTGAAAACAAAGTCCAAAAAAAATGAAAGAGAACAAATAAATATAAACCCACAAATACACAAAAGTGGAAGTGGGAAAATGAGTGTAACAATATGTACAGATGAAATGTTTTAAATAATGAGAGAATGGTATATAATTATATAATTATGATAATAAATTAGAAAATCCCATTGAAA